GGCTGTGGCTGCCGGACTCAGAGGAGGCGCCCTGACCGTCTGCAATTTCAAAAACCGCGAGCCCCTTGGAGACGCACAAATAGACCCGACCGCGAGAAAGGCAGCCACTTTGGGGGGTAAGGGAAGGCCACACCCGCCAGCTCCTCCACAGCACACTGCCCGGCTGCAGCGGGGAGCAGGCATTTCGGCCCAGGAGGCCGGGGGAAAGGGCCTCTCTAAAAACTCGGAGCTCTTTAGCCCCCTGCGGCACGGCACAGACTGGTGGCGTCGGCCACCGTTCTCCGGAAGTCAAAGGAGGGGTGTGAATTCACACCAGTGGAGAGCCTGGGCTAAGCTCCCCTTTTACACCCGGGCCAGACGGGAGGGGCGGGGAAACCGCCGGAGCGGAAGGAGTCCAGCCTCCACGGGGGGTCAAGGTCGGGGAGCATCCAGGCCCTTGGAGCGGGGGGCGGTTCAGATCGCGTCCCTGACAGTCCTCCGCGGCTCTTTTTGGCGGATACGGATGCAGAGTTTGTACCGAGAACCCGGCAGATTTGCAGAGCTGCGCTTTCTACCCACGGCCGCTGACAGGGATGCCGATCTCCGCGGCTCATTTTTGGCGGATACGAATTTTCTATCCCCGAGATCTTTGCTGCGGTCTGCACTGGGCCAGTCCGGACGGCGGGGGACCATTTGGCCTGGGTCACAAGCTGCAAAGTGACCAGCGGAGTGACTCCAGATGTACGCCGGTGTCACTCAAGGATGACTACGGGCGAAGGTCTCCCTCCAGGACTGTCTGTCCAGCCTCGGCACCGAGGGCTCCCTGCAGAAACACACCGTCTTCGGCAGCATGCCCGTGGGCCTGGAAAATCCAGTTCGGCCTGTGTCTCCCTGCCCCCTCCGTGACCCTGTTGGACTGGAAATTCAGCCACCAACTTCAGGGCAAGGCCTTTGATATCAACTTGCCTGTGAATGAGGCCAGTGCCTCCGTCTTGACGCATGTGCTGGTGGGCCCTGTGGCTGCTGTGGGCCAGGCGTGGGGCAGGAAGGAATCGAAAGACTTGGGCTTGTGTGTCTGGACCCGAGTAGAAACGTCCGAATGTTTTCTTTCTAGCTCCCCTGCAGATCTTGCGAGAGCGGCACATTCCGTTCTCCCGCCTTGCGCAAGGCGGCCGTGTCAGCCGAGGGAGCCGGGTTCAAATCCCCGGTGGCTTCCTGCCTTCACTTGGGCCCTGTTTACGCTAGAGACCGTACTGCGGTGCAGCTGTGAGGTCCGGGGGAGAGCGTTCGCCTGGCGACATCGTAAAACCGCCCCCCCATGAGCCGTAGCGGCCCGTGTCACTCCGAAGGTTACTTTTCCACAGGCCTGAGGAACATAAGTTATACCGGCCAACAGGCGAGGGTAGACCTAATCGTAGCCTCCCCGTGCCTCAGTTTCCCTCTGCAAAATGGGGTTAATAGTAGAGTTGTCAATTCATCACAGTTAACTCAAGCAGGACTGGTGACAGACTTCCCCAGGCTCTGGGTAAGGTGTGTGGGGGCTTGGTGGGGGCCCCTGAAAGGGATGGGGCCTCGGGCAATAGGGGTATGGCTGGGGACTACCCTCCCCCGAGCACCCGGCCCCTTTTCCCCCCCTCCATCAGCGGCCCTGAACTCAAGCGAATATCTCAAAGCAAATTAGCGTGAGGAAAAAATGAATCCTGATGAACTGCTGTTTCAACGGCTCTGTTCAACAATAGCAATGTCAGTTCCTTCTCAATGTTTTGGAGGTATTTCTGCATTTTCAAATGGACTGGTGTACCTGGTTGGTTAACCGAGAGGCAGTATGGCCTACTGGCTAGTGCACTGGCCTAGATATTGGGGTCTGGTCCTAGCACTGCTGGGGGTGACCTGGGGCAAATCGTCCCCTCATGCCTCAGTGTGCCCATCTGTAAAATGGGCACGGTCCTACGGCCCACCTTCGGAGAGCACTTTGCAACCCGCTGCCGCAGCGTTCACGTGCCTCTCCGGACACTGCAGCCATGGGAAAATGGCTTGCAATGGGGCCGTGGGAGGCTCAGGGGCAGCGAATCCAACAGCCTCAGGGTCATGGCCAAGGTGATCCAGAGGCTAATGGATGAAGAGAGAGATAAAAAGACGCCCTGGGTGGCAGCCGCCCTTTGGCTGACGCTGCTGCTGCCGGAGGTCAGAAGGACAAGGGTCATTCTGCTGGCTCGGAGCCATCCCAGAGCAGTGTGGGGCTGGGCATTTCGGAGAGGATAACCATCTCGCATTTCTCTAGCACTGGGTGGTTCCCAGAGTGGGCCCTTATATGTGCCCTGCGACACCCAGCGACGCCCCCCTGGGTGGCAGCCGCCCTTTGGCTGACGCTGCTGCTGCCGGAGGTCAGAAGGACAAGGGTCATTCTGCTGGCTCGGAGCCATCCCAGAGCAGTGTGGGGCTGGGCATTTCGGAGAGGATAACCATCTCGCATTTCTCTAGCACTGGGTGGTTCCCAGAGTGGGCCCTTATATGTGCCCTGCGACACCCAGCGACGCCCGACCCTAGTGTAAATCTGGAGCGAAACCACTGGTGTAAACAGGGGCAGAGTGTAAACTGGCTTAGCGCCGTTGCAACAAAGGAGCCAGCTGCTTCAGGGGTGTAAATGGTCCCAGCTCCAGTGAAGACAATGGACCGGTGCCCAGATCCTCAAAGGTATTTAGGCACCTAACTCACTTAGGCGCCTAAATCCCTTGGAATGGGTGGGACCAAGTTCCTAGCTGGTATAAATAGTGGCTCCATTTAAGTGAATAAGCCATTACCCCAGTGGGTGTAGTTCAGTGTAACTAACTCAGAAGTCAGACGGTCAGATCCTCAATGGAGGATCCACTGGAGTCAATGGGGCCAGATCACCAGCTGATGTAAATCGGCATAAATCCATTGGTCACAGGCCAGAGTTATCAGAGGATGTCGCGCCATTGATCGGTGTAGGCCAATCGATGTCTGCTGGGACAGGATGCTGTTGCACATTAACGCGGGTGTGGCAGAAAACAAAATCAGTCTCAAGTGTGTCATAAAAATGTGGCACGCCGGAGTCCTGCTAAGGGAACGATTTTTAGCTTATGCCCCCAGCTGGCCGATGTGTTCTGGGATTTATAAAAGGTTAAAACAGCCAAGATCCCCATCCAAAACCAGGAAAAAGCAGCAGCGTGTTGCTGGTGGTTGAAAGGTAGCTGCGTTCTACCCCAGAGGTGGCTGCATTTTAACGGCAAGTGAGTGATGTTTCGGGATCTGCTTCTACCATCTGTTCTCTCACATCTGAATGTCTCTATGCCAGGTATAAATTACTGTCCTGTGATTAATTTGAGGGAGTGGCTTTTATCCACAAAAGCTCATGATACTATAGACTCCAAAGGTGCTGCAGGATGACTCGGTTTTAAAGTCACAACTTAACACACTCCCTCCCTCCCCCCAGGGTTTTTTACTTGTCTGCACAAGGATAGCATCTCATCTTATACGGAGGCTTGTAAAGCCGTTTGGGATGACAGATGCCACGTGACTCTTTTATGGCATTGACTTGTCAAAGCAAAGGCAAGGTGCTTTATTAGAAGTTAGTACAACAAATATTCCGCCACATTTAAAACCCATGAATTTGCATGGCTTCGCTCAATTTCATTAGTAGCTTTACCCACAATCCCGATGAATAATAAGTTAACAGTGGAAACAAGAAAGAAAACAGTCCCTGATACCGGGGAGTTTTGGAAGGTGAAAACGAAGAACCTAAATAAATCTATACAATCATTATCTGTGCTCTCTCATGGCTAAGAAATTCTGGGTACGTTTCTTGAGTTCTTCTGCCAGCTACTGAGAACTGAGTTGTCCGTCGGAGAGTAACCAAAACAAGCGGTATTTTTAAAAAGAAAATTGGTGGTTTAAATGATAGGTATATTGCAACTAACTCAGATCACATTTTAAATCGGGGACTTACAGCACCCCAGTTCAATTTACACAGAGGCAGGGCAAGGATTTTTTTAACTATTTTTTGTAACTATTTTGACTGGAAGAAGGAGCTTGGGAGACAAGAGAGCCGTTCGTTTAGTCCTGGAACAGAACAGGTGACGTCGTCGCTGCTTGGTCGGCTGGGAAAATGCAGCCACTTCTGGGGTGGGATGTGGGATGCGGCAGCGGCAGCTACGTAAGAGCCTCACAAAGGTGTCTGTGACAATGTAATATGGGGTGGGTAAGGAGGTGCTTGAATACAGTGCAGCAAACTTGGAGGCAAATGTCTCTGGCACAAGCTTAGAGATGGCGAGTGGCACTGGAAGTAGTTTGAAGGGAGGGGTGCAGCGCTGTGGCCCCCCCGGCTGTGTTTCCCCCCTCTCTACCCCAGCTGCCAGCTGCAGAGCCCATAGGAACAGGGCTGGTGGCAGGGTGCCAGTGGGGGCTGGTGGAAAACAGCTGCAGGGAATACAGACTAAGGGGGTGTACCACCCGGACAAAGTTTCTGAAAGACCTTGTAGGAGGCTGAACGATGCATCCTTCATGTGTCTGTGGGAAACCTCCTGGGTGAGGTTGTGACCCCCACCCCGGAGTCTGCTGTGCGTGAGACATCACATGCACATGGAGCAACCCCCCCATGTGGGTCCGGGTAACAACGGGGGGTTTGGAGGGGGAAGTGGGCCAGAATAGGTAGCTATCTCCCCACTCTGCTAATTGGCAGCAATCCTACATACAGTGCTGATATCTCATGCTTTAAAGTGCTCAGCAAGTACCTATCTCTTGGGGGGAGAGGACCCCAGAGATATACCTATCCCATAGAGCTGAAAGGGTCCTTGAGAGGTCATCGAATCCAGTCCCCTGCCCTCACAGCAGGAGCAAGTACCATCCCTGATAGATTTGCCCCAGAGCCCTAAACGGCCCCTGCAAGGACTGAACTCACAACCCTGGGTTTAGCTGGCTAATGCTCAAACGACTGAGTGATCCCTCCCACATTTGATAGATGAGGAAACTGAGGCACACAGGAGCGGAGTGCCAGGCATTTGACAGATGAGGAAACTGAGGCACACAGGAGCGGAGTGCCAGGCCACATGAGTGCAGAGCTGGGAATCGGTCCTGGTTCGTGTTGCCATGCCGGGGCCACGAGGAGTTCTGTAGGCCAAGTCAGTGTTTGTTTTGGGCAAGGGGATTGCACGTGGCATCATGCCCTTCAGCTGGCGAGCAGAGGGCAGGTTAAGTGAGGTGACCAGGGAGAAAGGCACAGCGGAGAAGGAAAACAAACCTTTTTTGAGCTCATTGGGGCAACTTCTGGGTGGATGGGTGGCGAGAGTGCGTTTGGCGCTCGTCGGAACGTGCGATTGTCCCTCCGGAAGATGCTGGAGAGCGTGGCTACCTGAGAACGTGGCTAGTTTCTTTTGCGGCGCTAGACTTTCTCTGTCATGCCTCTTGGCAGAGTCTGTGGGGAGTGCAGCTCCATCGACTGCCTCCGGCGAATGTCGCGCTCCTCCCAGTCCTCCTCGGGCTCAACGCCTTTCAAGATGGCGAGTCTCTCTGACAGGGTCTTCGCGTGGGGGAAGAGGATGTAGTTGTAGATCAGCGAGGCCACCGCTGCTCCGGCCAAGGGGCCCACCCAAAAGACCTGGGGAGATGGAGAAAGAAGAAACGAGGCTTTAGAACGAGCTGGAGGAGACATTTAGCTGGCACTGAAAAGGGGCCCAAGATCTTTATGGATCGGAGTCGGATCTTCAACCCTCCGAGAATCATAGAATTGTAGAAAACTAGAACTGGAAGGGGCCTCAAGAGGTCATCAAGTCCCACCCCCTGCCCTCATGGCAGGACCAAGCACCATCTAGACCAGTGGTTCCCAAACTTTTTGGTATTGTGCACCCTTTTTGATTGTTGAAAAAAACCTCACGCCCCTCCCCCCAAAATAGCAGCAAACCTTGTTGAGAAAAAAAAGACCAAGCACCATCTAGATCATCCCTGACAGGTGTTTGTCCAGTGATGGAGATTGCACAACCTCCCTAGGCAATTTATTCCAGGACTTCACCATCGTAACAGGTAGGAAGTTTTTCCTAATGTCCTCCCAAACTTTTTGGTATCGTGCACCCTTTTTGATTGTTGAAAAACCCTCACGTCCCTCCCCCCAAAATAGCAGCAAACCTTGTTGAGAAAAAAAAGGAACGGAGGGGGACAGCAAAACTTGATGGGGGGGGGTCACCTCAGACCCCCCTTTTATTTCTTCATGCTCCTCCCCCCATGGGGCATGCCCCCCAGTTTGGGCACCCATGTTATAGACCATCGCTGAGAGATGTCTGTCTAACCTGCTCTTAAATATCTCCAGAGATGGAGATTCCACAACCTCCCTTGCTGCAATTTATTCCAGTGCTTCACCATCGTAACAGGTAGGAAGTTTTTCCTAATGTCCAACCTCAACCTCCCTTGCTGCAGTTTAAGCCCATTGCTGCTTGTTCTATCCTCAGAGGCCAAGGGGAACAATTTTTCTCCCTCCTCCTTGTAACACCCTTTTAGGGACTTGAAAGCTGCTGTCACGTCCCTTCTCCGTCTTCTCTTTTCTAAACTAAACAAGCCCAGTTCCTTCAGTCTTCCTTCATCGGTCATGTCTTCTAAAACCTTCAATCATTTTTGTTGCTCTTCTCTGGACCGTCTCCCGTTTCTCCACATCTTTCTTGCAATGCGGTGCCCAGAACTGGACACAAGACTCCAGCTGAGGCCTAACCAGCGCAGAGTAGAGCAGAAGAATGACTTCTCGTTTGCTCACAACACTCCTGTTCATGCCTCCCAGAATCATGTCTGCTTTTTTTGCAACAGTGTCCCACTATGGATTCCTATTTAGCTTCAGGGCGTAGCCGAGTTAGTCTGTACAGGATAAACTTAAAAACAACAAATAGTCTGGTAGCACTTCATAGACTAGCAAAACATGTAGATGGGATCATGTGCACGGCCCACTTCTTCAGATGACTGGAGTTTTGAGTTTAGGATGGGCAGACTCAAAATAAATAGGGGAGAAGGGAGAGAGAGGAAGGGAAAAAAATTGACGGGGAAGGAAATAAGAATCAGAGAGTATATAAATATCAAAGGGAAAACCAAGCAGGCAAAACTGGTAATCTATAAGCACCTAAAGATTGGCTAATTAAAAAAAGCAGATAAGGATCATAGGATAGCAATTAGAAAGGAAGTGTACTAACACAAGAATCTACACAAACAAAGAGCTGTTGGCACCTTCCTTGTTTGGTCGGTTGATAATGTCCCAGCCATCCATTATCTCAATTGAGGCCATAGGTGTGAGAATTCAATTTGTGGATGAATTGTAATCCCAACCCTTCTCTGTGTATTTGGCTTGTACAATTGGTCTGCACCAAGACTGCTCCTAGTTAGCTTGTGGTCTACTCCATCTATATTTACTCCATCTCGATATCCGGGACTCCAAACCAGAACCTTTGGTCGGAACTATCCAACTCCAGCGTCTGGTGGTTCTGATAACATGGATCTGAAAGCAGCCTTGTGTTTTTGTCGTTGGTTTTGTGGATCAAAGATCCAATCAATGAGCTTTTTCAAAACGAACTCAGAAGCCGCTGGCTGTGAGCTCTCTGTGTGGCTGTTTTCTAGCCGCCTTAAACCACGGTGAAACAAAATACAGGACTATGTAGCACTTGAAAGACTCACAAGATGGTTTATTAGGTGATGAGCTTTCGTGGGCCGGACCCACTTCCTCAGATCAAATAGTGGAAGAAAATAGTCACAACCATATATACCAAAGGATACAATTTATTCTTCCACTATTTGATCTGAGGAAGTGGGTCTGGCCCACGAAAGCTCATCACCTAATAAACCATCTTGTTAGTCTTTAAAGTGCTACATAGTCCTGTCTTTTGTTTCAGCTACACCAGACTAACACAGCTACATCTCTATCACTATTAAACCACGGTGGTTTGAGTAAAATGAGAGTGCCGTGTGATTTATGCAGAACTCACACAAACCCAATGGCGTTCTGCAAAAGTACCACACGGCTTCCCTACGTGCCGCATCTGCGCTCGCCCGGCACGTTTTCCTGGTCAACACCCCAACAAAACGTTTTCAAGATGGCGGCCGCCTGACCTCTGACCCAGGAAGTCGATTCGACTCTCCGAATATTGCACGAGCTGGCCAAGCATGAGGAAAGCATTTCTTCCACTGTCCCTTTTCTGGGTCACTGAGCACAAACCCTTGACGCCAAACCAACGCCGACCATCTCGGACGGAGCACTTGAACCGGCTGGCTCCGACGCGTGGGATAAGAGCTAGAGTTTAGCGCTGGAGATTTTGTGCCTGCTGCCGAACCACAGAGACCAAGCCCCACATGCTCTCCCTGTGGCAACTTAGCCCTGGTGCTCAGGGGAGTAAGTGGCTCTGGTTTGGCAGCAGTAGGTGACGCTATCTCTAGATCTTTCTTCCGGTGTGGAGAATATTATTATGATTGTTATTGTTATGATCTTTCTCACTGTCAAAGTGCCAGCAGCCAGGTGAGCGTGCTGGAAATGCTGACACGCCAGTGTCTGGATAGCCTAGTCCTGTGGGAGGTGAAGGGAGGGACACCCAGAGGAATGGGGGAGCACCCCAATTAAATTTTAGCTGGGGTACAGGAGGGGGCGGTGCACCTGCGGAGTGCTACCGTGAGCGCCGTCTGCCAGTCCTCCAGCATTATCCTAAAGAGGGCGGGGAATCTTTTTTGGGTCGGGGGACGCTGACCCCCAGGAAAATCAGTCGGGGGCCACACACAAGGGAGAAGGGGAGGGGGAAACCCTCGCTGTGGCCCCCGAACTGAAGAGAAGGACCCTCCCCACATCCCCTCACGCACCAGAACTGGGGGGGGCAGGGTAGCAGATTTTGTGCACGACAGCCCCCGGGGTGTAGCAGGGGGCTGGCCCCCCAATGCTAGGGAGGGCCTTGAGCCTCAGGGGCCAGATCCAGACTAGCCGAGGGCCACACCCGGCTCCCGGGCTGGAGGTTCCCCACCCCTATCCTAAAGCCTCGTGAAATTAAAGTTTCCTTTCAAATCCTAGGTGAGGTCCGGTGATGAAACCTCCAGGAATGGGTCCAACCAAAACTGGCAACCCTCGGCACGCCAGCCCGCCCTGCCAAAATAACACCCTGCTGCGAGGCGTGGGAGGACCGAATTCTTACCCAATGGGCGCTGAAGTCGCCTTCTATCACAGACGGGGCAAAGGAGCGGGCGGGATTCATGGAGCAGCCGGTGTAGTGGATCTGGGAGGGAAGGCGGGGAGACGACTCAACGTGAACCAAAGTTAATCGCAGCCCTGGGGTGAGCGCTTTGCCCTGGTCTAGCAAAACTGGCTGGAATCTTTCCGCGGCCCATCGGCCAGCTGGCCTCGTGCTGGCCTGTGGCTGCAGGCTCTCATTGGCTCTGGCTGGCAGGGGCGGGGCCTGGAGTAGCTGGGAATTTCCCGTACAGCGCCTCCTGCTGGGAGCTCTGCAGAGCGCAGGCTAACCAGTAAAGCAGGGGACCGTTTCCCCCATCTGCAGCAGAGAGAGAGGGCGAATCTCGTCCGTTTCCTCCTCCGCGCTAAGGAGCTGAGACCGATGGAAGCAGGATTTTTGCTCCTGCTCCATCTCTAGCTTTGGGATTCTGGGGCAGGAGGGATCCATTGATTATTTGTTACTGCCGCGCTTTGGGACTCCCCCTTCCCCTCCTTGGCACTGCACAAACACAGACTGATCCCCTCGCTGTGGTATCAGACACCTCACTTAGCCTCGCAACACCCCTGGTGATGCCACTCCCCATTGGGGAAACTGAGGCACAGAGCGGCAAAGTGGCATGCCCGAGGCCACACAGGAAAGCGGTGGCAGAGCCCAATGTCAATGGCAGGGCTCATGAATCCCCGGCTGGCACCCTCGCCCCTGGGCCTCGGCTCCGTGGAGCACCTCCCCCCCGTTAAGCTCTCTGGGGCATGGGCGCACGTGTGTCCTGGATCTACCCCACAAGCGTGCCGGCGCCAGGCCATTGGGACGCACCCCCAGCAGGTGTCCGACGGCGACAGACAGGCCGATGGACAAGGCTGGGGAGCCGAGGCTGGCGGCCCCCCGGTCG